GCACCAAGAGCTTGTAACACTCCAAAGAGAAAGGAAAAATTGAAATCGCATCATATGACCCCTTTAACATAAGGGAATTCAATCCGGACCCGCCTCAATTTCATATCTCAAGAGCACTCATTATATTTCCTACTTTGATAAACGCATGTTGAACTTGCAAGTTGTAAATCATTTGTTTAGTTTTTGAATGTATTTTTGGAGATGGTCCAAAATGAAAGCGAAGGCAAGATATTCAAACTTTTTCTTTGTGACATTTGTTGTCATGACATCCAATGAGCCTATGACGTTTGACGTAATCGGGTGACATTTCACCGCTAATATGAATTTTTTCTTTTTTTTTGGTTATCACTTATATGGCCATTTGACTTATAGCAGTGTCCAAGTGTATCCCATAAATTTAGTTATTTGTGGCGGCCCGTCAGTATATCAAAACTGACTGGCACAAATAGCTAGATTTTCCAAAAGGCTTATACTTAATTGAAACATGAGCATTGCACGTTTCAAAATCAAAATGTGGCGCAGGTTTTTTTTATATGAATGTATCTTTGAAAAGAACCGACCATTTTCAGAAAAGCTTGATGTCATTTTTTATTTAGTCTTTCCTGTAAAGTAGCGTTTGTGAGCGCAGTGCTTATTTGATTACAGCTGTTACCAGGGAAACCATTATATCTGCTCTCTAAAAGCGCCTCCTGCTGGCAGAGAATGAATTTGCATTTGCAAGTCTGTGGGAAACACTGGTGTCTGTCAGCAAACATAAACAAAAACATTAAGAATTATGTTGAGAAGGCGCTTAAAGGTGACATATCATGAAAAACAGATTTTTCAGGTTTTAAATGCTATAATCAGGTCCCCGGTGCATCTACCAACCAAGGAAGTTTAAACTAATGTGGTTTAAAACGCATGATTTCAGCGCGATAAACGATAATCAGAACCAAAACACATGTTTTTAGCAGGTCCGAGCTGTAATGGTGCAGCTCTATTCTGGAAAAGGGGGCGGGGAGCAGCAGCTCATTTGCATTTAAAGAGACAGGCACGAAAAACAGCGTGTTTCTGCTTCCACTCAAAATAGGCATTTTCAAAATGATATAATAAATGATCTGTGGTGTATTTTGAGCTTAAACTTCACAGACACATTCTGGGGACACCAGAGACTTATATTACATATTCTAAAAAGGGGCATAATATGTCTCCTTTAAATTTTGAGCTATAATTACTATAAATTAGGTTACTACTAAAAAGAAAACAGGCCAAACATATTGGCCAAAAAAAATCGGCCTCTAATGCTGACATTTAACTGAATTGTTTTGCCACTTTTGCACTTGTTATTAACGTATTTTGAATGCAAAGGGCACTTTATTTTTTTCAAAAAATGAGTGTTGATTTGTTATGCATGTTATGTATGCTTATTAAAAACAAGTTTTGTAATAACCAATTGTTCAGGTCCGGACCTTTCACACTGATGAAAATTCAGATTTGGAACTTTGAATGTAGATTTTGAGAACCCCTGGTGTAATATGATATTTTAGGAAATATTTTGCGAACTTTTTTTTGTGTGTGTGTGTGTGAGACAGCTCAGGCCAGGGAGGGGTGGAGAGGTCTCAATTAATTAAAATACAGTCAATGAAACTAATAATATCTATAAATGAGTTTAAGTTTAAGTACTATGGCAGGCCAGCAACAGTGTGGTCACTAGGGGTGCTGTTGTTTGCAATTCTGTGAGGACATTTCCCGAGGGGCCATGATCTGAAATAGACTTATTGGTCCAAACCTTGCCTGTCAAACGGTAAGAGCTTCATCACCAAAAATAATCATACAAATCAGAGACAAGGCGCTCTTTAAAAGATGGCCAGGAAATGTTCCTGTTTTTCTGACCTGAAGTCAGATCTTGCAGCTTAGAATGAAATGATCAAACAAAACAGGTGTAAAGTTTAGGGCTGGTGTTCTCAACTCTGGCCTTCGAGATCCACTTTACTGAAGAGTTTAGAGCCAACTCTAATCAAACCCACCTGAACAAGCTAATTCAATTCTTCAGGATTACTAGAACATTACATGCAGATGGGTTTGAACAAGGTTGGAACCTTGTTCAAAGGCTGAGGTTGGAGGTTGGAGTCTGAGGTTGGAACTCCTGCCACAGTTCTTGTTCGTTGCGCTAAATTTTTAATCACTGTACCTTTGTTTTAAGACAATTCCTCATAGTAAAGTATACTTCATAGATGTGTCATGTGAGTGTCTTTTTAATTTTCAGGCTGTTATTTAATATCAGTAGTGTATTTCGCCATCTAGTGGTGGCATAAGCTTAACGCCTTAGTACAGGACTTTCTACTCCTGCTCCTGGAAGGCCACTGTCCTGCAGAGTTCAGCTCCAACACTCATGCCTGGAAGTTTCTAGTAATCCCGAAGACCTTGATTAGCTGGTTCATGTGTTTAATTAGGGTTGGAACTAAACTCCGCAGGACAGTGGCCCTCCAGGAGCAGGTTTGGACACACATTACAAGTATTTGTAATATTACTTGAATAGTGATATATGCATATGTATTTGCTTTATTTCATGACTATACTCCATAAAACACACACCACAATGTGAAAAACTAAATTTCAGTGAAACAATGTCAAAAAACCTTGAAATATAGGGAAATAATATATACTTTCAGTGCCCATTTTCCATAATCAAATCAAATGTGACGTATACAGATCAGATCAGTCTTAAAAGTCAACTTTTATTGTTGAAATGTGTTTTGAATTATTACAGTAACAATGCCAACCAGTTCCTATATCACACCTTTGCTGCAAAAATGAGGTCTATTGAGGAAAATATGATACAAATATATTTGATACATTGCACAACACATCAAGTTAAGTGACACTTTCCCTTTAAATTGTATTCGTTTTCATTCATGTTTACAGTAAAGAATAATTATTATTCATTGAATCCTTAAGCACACTTTCAGAAATGTTTGATGAGGAACCGGTAAATAAATAGCAAACTTTTCTATCACTGAGAAACAACATATACAGAACAAAATCTTATTATCCCTTATACCTGTGAATTAATGATTTTTGGCTTAGTTGGTAGTGCACTCATGAACATATAGCTAAATTATTACATTATTTGGAGTGTTGTTTACGTGATGGTGAATCTATTAAATAAATGAAAATAACTGTATATATGATAATGTTCACACTCTGCTGCAATTCTTTGATCATGCTTAAATACAAAAACACAAGTGAAAGAAAAATATGTACCATTGCCCTATATGTTTGTAATATTTGGCCTGTCTTCCCTGTATAGCTTCCCCTGTATCCCTGTAACCTGCCAAAGTGTTACTTCAGAAACAATTCAAGTCACAATAAAGTGAATAAATTAGTTGAAAACCTGAGTCTAGGTCATGTCTGAGTCATGTTTCAAAAGGTGAAAGTCTGAATGTACAGCAGCACAAAACGCCAACAGGTTTTCCCGGATCTTCTGAAGAACATTTCTCGCCCATTCACATTCGTTCGAGATTAAGGCAACAGTGGATGAATACATCCCAGTACAACAAAAAAAACCCCCTAAGTCATACAGTCTGATATAATTCCCAAATCACAAAGTATGTCTTCTCCTTTACACTCTACACAATGCAATTTCATCAAATGCCCAGATACCATCCTCTGTCCTGTTTAAATGACCATTATTTGAACTTTAATTAAAACCAACAATTACTCTGTACATGCCTAAGGAGCATCAGCCCTCTGTTTAAAATATTTTTTTCCCTTTTGAGAAATGAGAAAACAAGAAGAGACAGATCACTTGTTGCTAGCTTTGTTGTCAAACTGGAAAAGATCCAACATATCAAGCATTGCCTGCCTAATGTTACTTCCAAAGCGGTGAGAGTCCTATAAATCACAAGAAAACGGGAACATTTTTATTTTACATATGTACAGAATTATTACAAATAAACAGAATTATGATATCATATTTTAAATTATTTTAACAATTGATATAATTAATATGAATATACAGTACCATTCAAAAGTTGCTAAGATTTTTTAATGTTTCTGAAATAAGTCATTAAAAAGTCAATTTAAAGTAACTTCTCTGTTTTAATATGTTTTAAATGTTTTTATAACGTCACTTTTGACCAATTTAATGAATCCTAGCTGAATTAATTGGATGCTGAATAACTGATTTCTTAAAAAAAAACACCTTTCAAAAACTACTTTATATTTAATTATTAATTGTATAAAAATAATAACAACTATAATTACTATTATGTATATTTTATCATATTTTATATTAGATGTAATAAATTGAACCCACCGTCTCTGGGCTGGAGTGTTTGCTGGATATGTGGAAGTTGATGAGATCTTCTCCAAGAATAATATATGATACACCATAACCGTCATCAGCAACCTAAACAACACACATATTGGTCACATATTGGCAAAACGAAACGAAACAAAAGAAACGAAACAAAACGAAACGAAACAAAACAAAACAAAACAAAAAACAAAACAAAACAAAACAAAACACTGTTTTCTTTATAAACCTTGAACACATATTATTAAACTATGTAAAAAAAATAAATAAATAACAGTCAAAAACAAAACCTAAAATTATGGCTATATATATTCAAAAGTTTGGGTAAAACAAGTAACAAAGAAATTAATAATTTTATTCAAAAAAGATGCATTAAGTTGATATATAATAACAGTAAAGACATTTATAATGTTATAAAAAGTTTATATCACAATTACCATAAAAATATGAAGCAGCACAACTGTTTTCAACATATAATACGAAATGTTTCTTCAGCATCAAATCAGGATATTAGAATGATTTCTAAAGGATCATGTGACACGGAAGACTGGAGTAATGATGCTGAAAATTCAGCTTTGCATCACAGGAATAAATTACATTTTAACATATGTTCAAATAGAAAACAGTTACTTTAGATTGTAATAATATTTCAAAATATTACTGTTTTTACTGCATTCTTGATCCAATAAATGCAGCCTTGGTGAGAATAAAAGACATCTTTCAAAAACATTCAATTAATCTTGCCACCCAAAACTTTTACAATACTGTAAACCAAGAGTTGAGTTTTCACTGAATCATGTCTAGGTAGGACAGAGTGTTAGAAACAAAATTGAACTTACAGGTCCAAATCCACCTCCGCTGGTGACGTATTCTGGATGCCTCTTTAAATCAAACAGATCGACCTGTTGGAGAGGAGTCTGACTGGTGGACAATCTCCAGGGCTCGGACAACACCTACAACAAACCCAACGTATCACTATCAAATGTGATGAGTCTATGAAATGGATTGCATTTTAGCTTGTGGCGTATCTCACACCTCTTTAAGAAAAGCCGAATCTTCACCGAGGTACTTTGACACCAGGTAGAGGCAGAAAAGATGGCGGTCGATGCCCTTTCCTGTCATGGCCAGTCTGTATAAGTCCTGATGCTTTTCTGCCGCCACTTTCAACAGCTTCAACTTCTCTTCTCTCTGAGGAAAAAAACAAAAAAACATTGTGGAATTAGCAGGAATTAGCAAACACACTTGCTGAAACTAGCTGGCCATTAAAGTCAATCCCACCGTTGCTTTGTCATTCATCATGGCACGGACAAAATCACAGGTCTGAGTGGTGCAGGAGCGCACAGTCTCAGTGCGGCCCTCTCTGAACAGACGAGTCATGGAGGCTTCGTACGTAAGGCAGAACTTGCCTTTATCCTACAGGAGGACAATGTGTACATATTACACAGAAGCCTGAGGAAAAATCCAAAGAATCGCTGAAGAATCGCTCGTACCCTGAAGTGCGCCAGCTGGAGGGCGATCTGAATGAAGCCGTCGGGACTTGTCTTGCATTTCTTGATCAGGCCTTTTCCAAAGTCGTTGAAGGGGATGATGTGCATGTCAACATCGTCCGCCAGAGCTTTAGCCACTTTCAGAGAACTGTTGATCACTGCCTGGCCCTGTGAAGGAACAAGGCCGCTCCTTGTTAAATTATATAGTGGATGAAAGTACAGCATGATTAAAATGCACAGTAAACATTTGAACTGACCTCCTCTGGGATGTCCCATTGCAGTCTCTGGGGTCCCGGCAGGTTTGGATGGGGGTTTCCTTTGCAGTGTCCATCCTCAGTATAGCCCAGTCTCACTGGATCCGATGACAAGACATGCTGCCATAATACAAACAAAAACATTTTAAATATCACATGACATATACTACCTTTTTTGCAAGAATTTAGTACTTTTATTCAGCAGGGATGCATTAAACTGATCAAAAGTGACAGTAAAGACATTTATAATGTTACAAAAAAACTATTTCAAATAAATGCTGAAGAATCATGAAATCATGAAGGAATGTATCATGGTTATTATATTAAGCAGCACAACTGTTTTCAACACTGATAATAATATTAGATATGTCCTGAGCAGCAAATCAGCATATTAGAATGATTTCTGAAGGATCATGTGATACTGAACACTAATGTAATGATGCTGAAAATTCAGCTTTGCATCAAAGGAATAAACTACATTTTAAAATATATTCAAATAGACAACAGCTATTTAAAATTGTAAAAAATATTTCACAATATTACTGTTTTACTGAGCCTTTCTAAAATATTTAAATATCTTACTGAGCCCAAACTTTTGAATATTAGTGTAGATGTTTAAAATGTTTGAACACCATAAATTTGTCTGATTTTCACACAAAGCTATATTATGACATGAGAAGTCTTGAAATATATAGCGCAAGAGTCATATTGACCACTTTTACGGTGCTTTTTTTTTATATTTGGAGCTTGACAGTCTTAATTGTCATCCACTTTCATTGTATGAACAAGAGCAACCAGGATATGTTGAATATCTGCAGAATATCTCATTTTGTGTTGCTCACAGGAAAGAACAGGGTCATACAGAGTTTGGAACAACATGAAGGTAGATTTTTGAAATGAAGGTAGAGATTTAGAAAATGATGACAGATTTTACATTTTTTGGTGAACCATCCCTTTAAAGGAATAGTTCACCCAAAATGAACATTGTGTGTCATCAATTCCTCACCCCCACCTGTATGACTTTCTTTCAACTGTTGAACACAAAAGATGATTTTTTTTGTAGAATGTTGGTAACGAACAGCTGACGGTAGTCAGTATTTTTTTTCCCCATACTATGGAAGTCACTGTCTACCATCAACTGTTTGGTTACAAACATTTTTCAAAATATGTGTTCAACAGAAGAAAGAAAATCACACAGGTTTGGAACAACAGGAGAGTGAGGAATTGATGACACAATGTTCATTTTTTGGGTGAACTATACTTTTAAGGTCACATGAGAAGATTAGGGTGCCCCCTATAGGCAGCACACCAAGAGTTCATATTACTGTGCTGAGGCTAATTTGTATAATTATACCAATGGAAAAACAAACATGAATTTGTGCAATAAGTGACTCAAATATTTGCATTGCACTTATATAAAAATGTGATTTTGTCAAATATGAATTTTCTTTCTTACCAAAACAGCTCATGCATATCAATATCTTAATGAATTGATTTACAGTATTCACCTCCCACAAATGGCCAACGATGGGCGCATCGGCCCAGGAGTGTTCTGCATTCAATCCCATAGTGCCGTTCTTGAACACAATCAGATTGAAAGACTTGTCAAACCACCTGGAGACAAAAAACACACACACGATAAAGTGAAAAAAAACTTAAAACATATACTACCGTTCAAAACTTTGGGGTCTGTAAGATTTTTTTTTTTTAAATAAGTCTCATATGCTCTTATCTGCCTTTCAATCACAAAACCTCATGGACCGCAACCAGTCTGGCTTCAGAAGTGGACATTCAACCGAGACTGCCTTGCTCTTGGTTGTTGAAGCCCTAAGACTGGCAAGAGCGGCTTTCAAATCTTCAATACTTATCTTGCTGGATCTGACACTCAACTCTACCTCTCATTCCATCCTGATGATCCGACGATAGCTGCTCGCATCTCAGTTTGTCTAACAGACATTTCTTGCTGGATGAAGGACCATCACCTTCAACTCAACCTGACCAAGACAGAACTGCTTGTGGTTTCAACCAAACCATCACTTCATCACAATTTCACCATCCAGCCAGGCGCATCAACCATAACTCCTTCAAACACAGCCAGAAACCTTGGAGTTGTGAATGATGATCAGCTGACTTTCTCAGACCACATTGCTAAAACTGCCCGGTCCTGCAGATTTGCTTTATACAACATTAGGAAGATCAGGCCCTTTCTTTCTGAACATGCTACAAAACTCCTTGTTCAAGCTCTTGTTTTTTCTCAGACTGGACTATTGCAATGCTCTCTTGGCAGGTCTTCCAGCCAGTTCTATCAAACCTATACAACTAATCCAGAATGCGGCTGCAAGATTAGTCTTTAATGAGCCGAAAAGAGCACATGCCACACCTCTGTTCATCAATTTGCACTGGCTACCAATAGCTGCTCGCATAAAATTCAAGGCATTGATGTTTGCCTACAAAACTACCACTGGCTCTGCACCCCTTTACCAATATTCACTACTTCAGACTTATGTGCCCTCTAGAAGCTTGCGTTCTGCAAGTGAACGGCGCATGATAGTGCCATCCCAAAGAGGTACAAAATCACTTTCATGGACTTTTACCTTTAACTGTTCCCTGCTGGTGGAATGACCTGCCCAACTCAAGTCTTTAGCCATCTTCAAGAAACGGCTAAAGATACATCTCTTCTATCTACACTTGACCCTCTAACACTTGAACTCTCTATTCTATTTCTATTCTTACTAGATTTATTTTTTATTTTTTAAAGAGCCTCTAACACTAGCATTCTCTATTCTTTTTCTATTCTATCTTTTTTTTTTTTTTTTATTTATTATAAAAATGACCCTCTAACACTAGCATTCTCTGTTCTTTTTCTATTCTTTTGACTTGTTTTATTTTATTACTCAAAAAAAAGAAGAAAAAAGAAAGACCCTCTAACACTAGCATTCCCTATTCTTTTTCTATTCTATCTCCTTGTTACGTGCATTGCATTAGGCTAACTGAGACTTGTCACAGCACTTACATATTATTGCCCTTTTGTTGGTTTTGACTGCTTTTATTGTCCTCATTTGTAAGTCATTTGGATAAAAGCGTCTGCTAAATGACTAAATGTAAATGTAATGTAATGTTCAGCAAGGCTAAATTTCTTTGATCAAAAATACAGTTAAAACAGTAATATTCTGGGATATTATTACAATTTAACTGTTTTCTATTGTAATATATGTTCAAATTTAATTTATTCCTGTGATGCAAAGCTGAATTTTCAGCATCATTACTCTAGACTTCAGTGTCATTTCTTAGAAACATTTCTTATTATTATCAATGTTGAAAGCAGTTTTTGCTGCTTAATATTTTTACGAAAAATGTGATGCATTTTTTTTCAGGATTCTTTCATAAATAGAAAGTTCCAAAGAACAGCATTTATTTGAAATATTGTAACAATGCAGTCAATTGAGTCCTTGCTAAATAAATTAATATTTTAAAATAATCTATTAGTATTAATTAATTAAGAAATCTTACGGACCCCAAACTTTTAAACAGAACATTAAATTAACAGAAATATATTATGGTTCACAATAAGTGATTTTATAACCCAATTTAATTATAACCAAGCGAGATCGTAGTCACCTGTCATAGCATTTTCCATGGAGCAGAGATTTGCCATAGCTGTCCAGTGACTGCACCGAATTCTCTGGATCGTAACGCTGTTCGGTGTCATCCAGAGTAACAAAGAAAGCCGCTTTCTCCACAGAATCCAGAGACTGCTTGTTCTTCCCTTGACTGAAGAACTGTGAGCGGGCTTTGGCCCAGGGATCTCTGGGTAATGGGGAACAAAAGCAGAGATAAAATCACTTGGCTCTTTGCGTGTTCTTTAATGGGCTTTGATCACATTTAAGTGAACAGAAAGAGAAGAAACAGCATCTGGTTCATGAATGAAAGAAATTTATAGCTTTAGCAGCCACAGAAAGTCCACAGTTAAAAGAAACCTTATTTCCTTAATATAAAAATATTTATTTTCTTTTTTACAACATAATTTTGTATTATTATTTACCAAATATTTATTTATAAGATATTTGTAAAATTAAACTAACAATTAAATTAATTAAAGGGGTCATATTCTGCGATTTCAAATTTTCCTTTCTCTTTGGAGTGTTACAAGCTGTTGGTGCATAAAGAAGATCTGTAAAGTTGCAAAGACTAAAGTCTCAAATCCAAAGAGATATTCTTTATAAAAGTTAAGAGTTAACCACGCCTACCTAAAACGCCTCGTTCTAACACGCCCCCACATACCTACATCACTATGTGGGAAGATTTGCATAACGCCGCCCAAATGTTCACGCAAAGAAAGAAGGCGTAACTTTTATTCTCACTGTAGTATTGTTGTTCACGCCATGTCGTGAAGGCGCTGTGTGTTTCGTTGTGAAAGTGAAACTACTTTGTTTGGCCTTCCAAAAGAGGACGATATCTGCTTCGTCATGCCTGGAGCTGATCCTTGCTGGTTGCTGAGGAAATACAACAACTTTGCTCTGTGGATCCAGTATGTGGAAAATAATGTGTTTTTTGAACCTTAAACCGCATAAACACATTTAATTACACCAAATACACAAAATAATGTTCTTTTTAGGAACATCATATGACCCCTTTAAAAAATTTTTTTTTAAATAATATTATATTATATATGCATTATATTATTATATATAATATTATATATTAAAAATACAATATAATGTTGTATTGTCATTTACCAAATATTCGTAAAATTAAATTAACAATTAAATTAATTAAAAAAAGTAAATAATTTACTTAAATAAGTAATAATAATAAAACAAATTATTAAAAATAAAATAAAAATAATAAAAATGAGCAGTCACCTGTCGCCCGCTGTCAAAGCGGCAAGCAGCTCCTCTCCTGGATGAGGTTCGGATTTGTCCGCCAAGATCCTTTCAATCTGCTGCTCAATTTCTCGAGGCAACAGCAGCCGTCCGTCATAAAACAGCCACACCTTGAAAAAGCGCCCCTTGTGATACACAGCGATGTGTTTGCTCTCGTTCATGTGCTGAAGGACGTCTGATGAAGAATACGGACGAGAGGATGGATGTGTATCAATGTGCATGAAAACAAAGTAACATTATTCTGTAGTTCATCCAATAATTATTTGTGCAGTTTAAATGAGGTAAAATGTGTTATTTTTTGGCTGTTTTTGTCAAGGGTTAAATGATTAATGGTGGTCAGTAGACAATGATGAGAAAAGCAAAAGGTGAGGTAAAAAAAGGCAAAGTAGATGAGAAGAAAGACCAAACAAAGGCTTGCTATAGCCCCCCTAAAATGACTACTCAGCCCATCTAAAATTTTGCGATTAGCTCCATAAACTACACGAATTCGTGATCGCCTCAGTCCCCTTAAAATTTCATCTGAAAATGGCGGCAGACACCGATTGGCTCCTCCACGTCTTTCAGCGCGTTCTTTTTCAATCCGCAGACCGCGGCGGCGCAGAGCGAGAAACAGAGGACAAGGGGTGTGTTTATCGATAGATTGTTATAATATCTGCATCTGTGCAGTTCTTTGTCATAAATCCAGTTTACAAAATATCATGGGGGAGCAATAATCGGTTCCCCATCTACTGTAGCCTAAGTTTTCACTGCGTTCAACCCCATCACCACAGCTGTTTCCTCCAGCGAAAATGAAGCACATATGAACGCATATTGCCATTTTCATTTGAAAATGTAACTTTCAATATAATACACATTGCAGTGCATGTGGCAAATAGGTTTGCATAATTGAACTAAGGAAAGAGGGATGTACTAGAAATGCAAACAGTAAACATTTGTGTTTGTACAGTAAACAGGTGTGTGTGAGAGATCATGAAGACTTGAATTTGACTTATTCAGTACTCAAATGTTATACCTATCTATGCAATACAGTGGAATACTGCAGTAAGTTTATTATATGACCCCTATTAATCAAACATTTTTTAATTTATTTATATATATATATATATATATATATATATATATATATATATTAGGTTTTGAATTTTTTCTCTTTAAAGAGTTGCTATGCAGTAAACAAGCATGTTTTTGTG